ATTCTAAAAAACAGAAAATGTCTATTAGTCGTTTATCTCATTCTATATTACAGGGTTTCCCATTCAAAAAAGGAAAAGTCTCGATCAAAAAAGAAAAAGTCCGATCAAAAAAGAAAAAGTCTGATCAAAAAAGAAAAAGTCCGATCAAAAAAGAAAAAATCCGATCAAAAAAGAAAAAATGTCAAAAAAAAGGAAAAGGTTCAATCAAAAAAGGAAAAGTGTCAAACAAAAAAGGAAAAGGTCCAATCAAAAAAGGAAAATTCCCAAAATGAAAGAAAAAGTGTCAATCAAAAAAGGAAAATTCCCATTCAAAATAGTAATTTTTAAATTTTTTTTATTTATTTTTGTTATTCCTTCTTATTTTATTTCTAACTTTTTGCGATTTCTTTACTTTATTTTTCTTACTATAACTTTTCTCAATTTATATTTCTTCACCTCTTTGTTCCATTTTTTTAAACAATTCTTCACTTTTTTTTATCATTCATACAATATTCCATCTATAATTTTTTCTCCTTATATTGTGATGTTCACATAAAATTTTAACCTTTTCAATCTCTTTAAGTCATTTTTAATCTTTATTTTTTTGACCTTTTCTCAATTTTTTTCTTCTCATTTTTGATAATTCTTTTTAGGAATTATATTTAATTTTCACTTAATTTTTGGCAACATTTTCCTCATTTTTACGTTTAATTATTCATATATTATAGAATATAATCTTAAATATAACTACAAAAAAATACTTACTTGCTCAAAAGTATAAATGCGTCTTGAATAAATATTAAAATTTTAAAAATGATTATATTTTATTAATTTACATATCGTTTGGTAGTACAGTTCAAACTTATTTAATTTTAAAAAGGTACATTACATTATAACCAAATGATCAATTTATTGTAATTAAATAAATTGATATATATAAAAATTTTCTGCCAAAAATTAAGTGAAAATTAAATATAATTCCTAAAAAGAATTATCAAAAATGAGAAGAAAAAAAATAAAGATTAAAAATGACTTAAAGAGATTGAAAAGTTTAGAATTGTATGTGAAAGATTACAATATAAGGAGAAAAAATCATAAAAAGAATATTGTATGCATGATGAAAAAAAGTGAAGAATTGTTAAAAAAAATGGAGCAGAAAGGTGAAGAATAACGGAAAATTTATATATTATTTTTAAAAAAACAAAAGAATTATAAAAAAATGAGAAGAAAAATAAATTGAGAAAAGATATAGTAAGAAATAATGTAAAGAAATCGCAAAAAGTTATAAATAAAATATGAAGGAATAACAAAAATAAATAAAAATTTAAGAAAATTTGACAAGAAAATAAAAATAAAAATTACGATTTTCCTTTTTGATTGACACTTTCCTTTTTTGTTTGACACTTTTCCTTTTTTGATTGAATCTTTTCCTTTTTTGATCAAACTTTTTCCTAAACCTTTGGGACTTTTTCATTTTTGATTGACATTTTTCCTTTTTTGTTTGAGCCTTTTCCTCTTTTGATTGAACCTTTTCCTTTTATGATTGATTCTTTTCTTTTTTGATTGAACCTTTTCCTTTTATGATTGAAACTTTTATTTTTTTGATTGAGACTTTTCCTTTTTTAAATGGGAAACCCTTTATATAATTAATATAAAAATTTTCGCAAAAGTTTTCCAGCCCATATTAAATTTTTTTTAAAATTTGGCCCGTTAAAATTTCAAGAATATTATGGCTGGCTCATTAAATTTTTTTGAAAAGTCCGCCCTAGTCTATTAAATTTTTAAAAATTTTCTGGCCATCTTTTAATATCGATAACTAATTTTTCCCCATTGTCAATTAAGGCTTTTATATCCCTCCTTTATAGCTATAAATTTAAATAAAAATCGTTTTATAAATCAAATGTGTTTGATATCTGTATTTATTTGTACATATCATAAATTATTTGTTTAATTGGTTTTAGTTATATAGCTCTGAAATACACATATTATTGTAATTTATTTTCAAATAGCATTAATAAAAATATTGGCAGGAAATTGAAAAATATATATCAAAACTTTAATGTCCAGACTGGCCTATTAAATTTTACAAAAAATCAGAGACTTGTTAGGCCCTCTCTGATTTTTTAAGTAAAAATTGTCTGGGCAGACCAGGTAAAAAGATTAGCATTTTCCATTTTTACCATAATATTTTGGAACATTAACAAAACAGAACAAATTATATCTTTATATGTAGTCAAATCCCTCATCTACAAAATAAAAAAAGTGTTATCAACCCATAATACTGTAGGAGCTGTGATTAATTATGTGAAGTAGAAGTCTGCATTGGGTGGGGTTTCTGCCCGCCCACCTGGGGGGTTAAGAAATTTAAACAATAGGCGAGCGGGTTAAAATAAATTTAAAATTTTTGTTCAAAAACAAACTAAAAAAAATCATAATTATTTAAATGATCAATAATAATATTCTTTTTTTTATTGTACCAACGTTTTTTTTTAAGTGAAGAACACACCTAGCTATATTATGTACAACAATAAAACTTTTTGCTTATAATAAATAAACTTTTTTGTGTAATAAAAACTAAAATTTCATTCTGTGGGAATGTAATAAAACTTTTCTCTTAAAACAAATAATCATTTTTGGATAATGAAAATTAAAATTTCCTTTTTTGAGTCTGCAATCTGCATTGTATTATTTTTTTTAGTAATAATTGTTTATCTTTATATTTGCCCTTTTCATTTTCATTTTATCATATAATATATAAATTTTATTTTTTATAACATAATTTTTAATAAAAAAATATTTTTAATTTAATTTTTATTTTAAAATTATATTATGAATAAAGAATATTTATCTAAAAAAATAAAAAATAATTTTTACAAGTTAAAGGATAATGAATTAGACAATAAACTCAAATCTTCAATGTGGAAACAATTTAAAATCATTTTCGATGAAAATGACAAAAAGCTAGATTGGATTTGCTGTACTGATTGTGAATCTATCTATAATATAATAACAAAACACATCCTTCTTTATCGGCATCAATGTTCATCTGTAAATTATAAAGATTTTATAGATAATAAAAAATAACCGGATATTTTCAAAAAGGCAATTCTCAATTAAACAAAACGATAAAATCTGGTCTAATTGCCAATTTGTAGAGGTGTAATGCTTAATTTTTTTTTTATTAGATGCTTAAAAAATTGAAATAATGACCATAATAAGCAGGGTTGGGTTAAATTTTTTTAAATATAATGGGCTTTAGATTAATGGGTGGGTGGGCAAAAAATTTTAGACTAATAGGTGGGGTGGGCGGGTATATATTTTTTTGAAAACTATGGGAGGGCGTGTTAAATTATTTTAAAACATTGGGTGGGCGGGTTTTTTGTCCAAAAACCCACTCAATGCAGACCTCTATTGTGACGTGTGCCATTTTATCCTACGCCCAGGGTAAAGTGGCTAAGGGTTAAAATAAAATTGAACATAACTATATGGTTAATTGAACAAAATTTGTAATTTTGATATTTATTCACCACTTTTAATATAAACTAATTAATACAATACTGCAATGTAAAAAAAAATATATCAAAAATAGCATATTTTGAATGGGTTCATTATAGGCACATCGTACATTTCAATAATTGTTCCTCTTTGCAACTATTCATAAGATTATATCCCAAATAACAAATACACTATTTATTAATGTTCCTTTTTGCATAAAAGTATCTTTTTACAGCTTAAATCAGACGGAACATTTTAAACATTTTACCTATCAACTTTACCCCAAGGTGATATATATTGTGTAAATCGTTATTGCCTGACTTCTAGTTAAGCTATAAACTACCGATATTTTTATTTTAAAGCTATGACTCTAAGGAACATGTATTCAAAATTTTAAATTCTGAGCTTTATACTAAAAGGAAAAAAAACTAGTGGGTGATTTTTATAATTTTTGTGTTAAAAACGGGTTTTTGGAAAAATATGTTAAACTTTAAACGTTTTTCAAAAGCTTTATAATTGTTACCCTGTCAAATGCTTTACCCTGGTTTCCCATATGAATCACCTGGCCTGTTAAACTTTTTGGCTGTAGGCCATTTTAATTTTTTTAAATTTACGATGTCAGTGGGGCTTTGCAAATCTCTGCTATAAAATAGAGCTCTGCAAAAGTCATTTTTCTTATAAAAAAAATCGATTCGGATTGGTCAGGTCAAATATTTTTTTAAAAAAATTTAGACTAGGCTGAAATTTTGAAATAAAATTGATATATTTTTAAAATTTTTGCAAGAAATATGGTGCTAATATTTTTTTTCATTTATTTGTAGAATGATCAAAAAACTCGATTATATTCAGTGAAAAGGTTTATTGAAAAAAAATCAATTTCTATATTTAAATAAATTCAGGCCACGTCAACAAATAATCTTATTTTGGAGGCTTTAAGGAAGAAATATAAAACTTCATCTGGAATCAAGCTGGGCAATTTTTTAAAAATTTTTTGGATGGGTCTGAAAAATTAGGCCTGGAGTAATTATTTTGGAAAGGCAGTGATATTTATTTTTTTGCGAACTATTGGATTATATTGACCTCATCAACTTTATCACTTATTGTATAAAAGGAATAAGAAGTATCTTGCATCATACTTTTATTTAGTAGAAGATACAATTAATATCTTAAAGGTACTCTGTATCTTCTATATAAGATACTTTTTTATAAATTTTTTATCTATATTCTTTTTTAAGGATCTGCCCAACATTGGAAGGGCATTACTATTATTATATACTATTATCATTTATTTTATATTATATTATATAGATAAGAATTACAAGATTGTTGAATGGTAATTAGAATGATAGTAAAGTGCTAAGAGGGTAGGGAACAAGAAAAAGTGAGCAACAGACCTGCAAAAGAAAGTGTGTAAGGTAAGACCCCAAATATATATTAATAAAATCTAACACATTTTGTAAATTTTGATTTGGCAACCTGGTTAAGATATATATGTAATAACAAAAAATTTTAATTTCAAAACATACTTTTCAACAAGTTTCTTGTTAATCCTTAAATTACCCATATTATCATGGTTAGGATATATCTTATGTTGATGCATGCTTTTTGGTTCTTTAAACAGTGATGATTCTGGTATAATATCTGGTTCTAAATAAATAGTTGACTTTTGGTTCTGAACAGGACATATTTTAATTTTTTTTATATTAATATGATTTGTAATTGATTTATTATCATTAATATTTGAATACTCTTTAGAAGTTTTATGATATTTATTTAATATTTTTTTCATTTGCAAACTGGAATGATTATCTTTCAATAATATTTTTGAATTGCCACTATATTTTTGGGATAAACCAATAAATGTGCTTCTAGATTCAATACTTTTTTTATCCATTCTAGTTTTGTAATTTTTTATCAATCTTCTTTTTAATTTTTGATTTTCTAATAAAGAGGCTAATTGAGCTTTTTGAATAGCTTTTTCTTCTTTCCATAAAATACCATCATGTGATTCCTAAATTAAAATTTTTAAAACCATTGAAATTATATAAAACAGAGGCAAGGTTTTTTTTATCTATCTAAGTGTATTGTTTAAAAATTATATAATTATGATGTGCTCATCAATCATTTTTTTTAAAAAAACTAAATTTGCACTATTGTTTTGCTTATAAGTTTTAATAAATGTTTAGCAACTATAACTTCATCTAAAATTTTATTTAAAAAAATCTTAAGTGGGTGCTCAAAAAAATTAAATGTGCTACTTTTGTCTATGGGCTAAAGGATCCTTTCTGATAATAAATTAAATAACAGATATAAAAAAACAATACATCAAATTAGAGTACTTAGCATCTTTTTTAAACATATAATATAAAGATTACTTCAAGTAGCTACATATAATAAGATATTAACAATTATAAATAAATTATATAGCTAAATTTATTTTGTACTTTGGGTATGAGCAGAATATTTTTCCTAGGCCGAAGTTGTGGCATTAGCTTAAATATTAAACGACGATTATTTTTATGTGCTATAACTGACACATTTCACCAATCAGCTACCGTTATTCGATATTGTTGTGATATAATGTGTTTAATTTTTATTTAAAATGTTTATATTTTTACTGTTCTGAGGCGATATTTTTATACATAAAAACATTTCTTCTATATTAACAAGAAAAACAGAATTACTTAAATAAAAATCACTAATATCGATAACATTTAGATTTTGACTTTTAATATATAAAGTTTTATTTTACTTTAAAATTGGAATTTGATTAGGCTTAATTACTTTACTATGCCCGTGTTTAATTACCTACCAAACATTTAATTATGGTATAATCCGACCTACGTCATTCTCTACAGTTATTATCTTCGAAATTACAACGTCGAGCAGTAGAGTAAATTACGTTACAACTCTAAGAATTCTAACACATTTTATTGAAGCTATTATGAAAAATTAAGATTCGGAAACAGTAATCGACTGGAGACAAAATCTACCCCCCCCCCACCCCCCACCTCCCAATGAGAGATGACCTGCATTTAATAACGGTTCATAATCTAAACTAATGTTGTTAAAAGGTTTAGGTGAGTCGGCTATGCTGCCCCAGATTTTTGGTCTTTTTTTAGACTTCCAACCGAGTTGAAGTCGAAAAACGACCTCAACTCAAAACCTGGGTCAATTTTTTCGACCCCCACTCAAAATTTTGGTGGTTTTTGTTTTGGCTCTACCATGGTCGAAGTAAAAAAAAGGCGACCTAGACTTAAAATACAAGATGTGTATTTTAACTCCAACTCAAAATTTGGGTAGTTTTTTTTAAACGTAGGCACAAAGTTGTGATCAATTTTTTGACCCGACCCAAAATATGGGACATTTTTTCTAACCCGATAAAGTCTGGGTCGTTAATTTCACCTTACCCTAAATTAAATCAACGTCTACTTTATGACTAAGAGCCAAATCGGGTGGAGACCAATAAATATATTAATATATAATATATAAACCTTTCGATATTAATATTATCCTCAAGACCCGCCCATTAAAAGGATTCTCGAGTGAATCGGTCTGAAAATTAAAAGAAATTTCCTTTCTCAGAAATATTTATAATTTTTTACAATATATGATATAGTTATCAAATTAACAATGATAAAAATTATTTAAACAATATAGTCGTCCTTCTAAAAAAGTGAGTCTATCTATATCTTCGGTGATCAGGAAAACTAATTATTAAATTATTTTTTAATAATAATCATAGGTGTGTTTTGGAATCATCATGGGCGTATCTTAGTGGGTCCAATGACATATATCATTGAGTGGGTCACGAATATTTATAAATTTTTACAATGTATCGTATAGATTTGAGGCCCTAAAATATCAAAATCCTCAAGCCCAGCCTGGCTTGATGGGAATTTATTTTTTGCCCGGCCCGGCCTGGTTTTAATTGTTTACTAAGGATTCCTGGGTCGAGTTGGCTCGCCCGATTTCTAATTCTTTTAAATGCAAGGGCTAAACCAAAATTGTATTGTTGAACACTAAAATAAACAACTATTTATAGTCTTGGTAGGTGATTAAATTAGAAATACTATAATTTATGGATACGTCTATGAAATATCAAGATTAATAAAATATATACAAAAAAAATTCCAAAATCTTGCCCCAGAAACATTTTTGCCCGACCCATTAAAAAAATTCAGAAGGTCGGGCAGTGCTTTGGAGATCTCATATATAGGTATCAAATATAAGCTAATGAAAAAATATGCTGACAGCAATATTGATTATATTTATAAATAGGCCGGTCTAGATTTTAGGGGTCAGGAATGAATTAAACTTTATATACCATATATATTCATTATATGTTTAAATCCAAAGCTAATTGAAAAACAATTTGTTAGTATAATCATCAACTTAATTGGCGAGTCTTGATCTAGTTTCGATAATTTTTACAAAATTAAATATCAAATAATATAAAAAAAATTTTTGATGAGACAGCTAGCTTATTGTTGCTCGATATTATCAAATTCTTATTGGAATTCTGTCAAAAATATTAATTTCGAGAATAAATAAAAAAAATATTCTCTTGGATATTGTGTTTATAAAATTTAAAACCCCATTGAAAATTACCAAAGTCCAATATTTGACAATTATAAGAAATTGCTTAAAAATCAGAGGATGCAAATATTAATTTTATTTCAATCAGAAACTTAATCTTATTTAAAACCAGAATTTGTTTGTGTTACTAAATATGGTCAAATTTGTTACAATTCAAAATTCAAATTTTTTTTTTTAAACTTAATAAAGTATTATAATAATATTTTAATAGTTGTTGGAGGTGAAGTTGCAAACGAAATGTTTTTTTTGTCCCTATTTACTTAAGTTTATTAAAGGCATACTAGTTATTAGTATTCTCTATAAATAATTTTGAACTAATTATTAATATTTGAAATATTAAGTTATTAAAGTTAATAATTTGTTTTTATTAAAAAAAAAAGAAAAAAAAGAAATTTGAATATGTAATTATAATGAAATTATTTGAATATATGCAATTATTATAAAGTTATTTACTCGATTATGATTAATTTTTTTTGAATATGCGATTAGGACTAAATTATTTTAATATTTAATAATATATATTATGCAAATGAAATGTTATATAAAAGACAAGAAAAATTTCTTTTATATTTTTGTTTTGTATTTTCTAATAAATTTTAAATAAAATTTGAGTTATTAAATAATTAAATTTTAATAAATTAATTTGGTTCTATTAATTGGGCAACCTGTTTGAACTAATACAATAGTTTTTAAGTATTGAAATCAGGAAGCTAATTGGATTAATTTATTTTATAACATGAAAGAAAATTCAAATTTAGGATTTCACTGCCATCTTATTCGTTTAGATTTTATTTTTTTAAGATTAATTCGAGACACCAAAATGGAAAAACCATTTATTATTTATTCTTTTTATATAAATATTAAATAATATGAATTAATTAAAAATTTAATTATTTAAACGAATTTCATCTTCAATAAATTTTGTTGTGCAAGAACGAAGCCCGGAAAAATTTTTGCCCTGGTTCGGGTTTAGTCTAATATAAAAAAAATAGGCGGTTTCGGTTCGGTTTAGGGAAATATTTTTGAACCCGAGTTTGGTTCTGGGTTCAGCTCGGGTTTAAGAATTTTTGTATTGATAAAAAAAAAATTATATATTTAAATCAAAATTAAAAAACTAGACATAAAAAATAAATTTTTTATTTTATTTATAGGCAAAATTTAGTTAAAAATACAAAGCATAGTCATGTAGCAATTTTAAAAATTTTATTTAGACGTATTTATTTATATTAACAATATCCAATATAATAATTTCCACTTTGATTTGTTCACTTTCATTTTCCTCTAATTAATAATCTTTGAGAATGAGTTAAAAATTAAAAATAAATGGCGCAAATGAATTTAATTGTTTAAAATTTATTAACACCCCAATAGGAATTTTTGAGAATAAATTTAAACAAACTTTAAAATGGCGTAAATGAATTAGGCTGTTTAAAATTTATTAACACTTCACTTAATTGGAAATTTAAAAAATATTATATAATCTCAATGATTTTTATTTACAATAATATCTTAATATATGATTTTAAACAATACTCTGAACCCGGTTGAACCCGGGTTCCATTTGGGATTTTAAAAATTATATAAACGGGGTTCAGGTTCAGTTCGGGTTCAGATTTTTTCCCCAAAACCAGGGTTTTCTTCCTCGGGTTCGGGTTCGGTTTGAATCCTTGTGCAAGAATATTTATCTAAAATTATGTATACCCCCCACCACCCTCCCTCCCAATGTTAAAAATTATCATATTGGTTAAGTGTCTCTTTATTTATTTAATTTGAATGTATTTTTTACTTAAATTTACAAAATAGGCAATATTATGAAATAAAAAAATGATATTTAATAAATAAAAGTCTTGTTATACTCATTTTGCTCAAAATATTTATTTTAAATTCACCCGCCCATTGGTTTAAAAAGTATATTTTAACCAGCCCACTCATTGGTCTTATGATTACATTGTTCTAACTCATACCTACTAAAAAAACCGCATATTGCAGATTATTAATACATATTTGCCTTCCACCGCTCCTATAGAGCTTATATTTTTGTTTGCAAATTTAATTAAAGGATTATACTGGAGGACAAGATGATGTTTTATTGAAAAATTAGTTCTTTTAAAGAATGTTATATGATAATCTTTGATTGTAATTAAATTACATTAAACTACACAATAATATATTAATAAACAAGTTTTATACTATCTCCCACATTCTTAAATATTTTAAAAAATCTTGCTATTTCATACTTGCTTTTTTTTTGAAGAATTAGATATTATTTTTATTGGCTTAATAAATTATTGTCTTGCAACTTATTAAGAGTCAGTTACAAATTTTGCTATATTTTGTTAATTATTGTCTTCATACGCGTACACAAGAATTCGTTATAGAGGGAGGGTAATTAAATTATTTAAAGAATTATTCAAGGAGTTATTTAAGAATATCTTAAGTTTCAGAAATTTATTAGGTCCAGTGACTATAAAATATTGACAATTTCTAATATACAAATTAAAATATAAATTAATAATAAAATATTAAATATTTACAATCTTTATAAAAAAAAATTTAAGCATTTAAAATTTGATATATGAATTCTAAGTATTATCTCGGGGCAGTATTTCCTTATCATATTTAAGACTAATATAACTTATACTTGAAATTTATACTATAAATATATTTTAAGATTTTTAAAATGTTTCGAGAAATATGCTCATGAAAAGTTTTAACAGCAAAATTTAAATTTTAACACGTCAAAAAAAACTTTTTAATTTTTTACTTTGCTAATTAATTTTTTTATAAGTTATTTCGACTAAATATAAATTCTAAATGATAATAATCTCAATTTTATCACGTTAAAAATATTGACAATTTTAGCTTAATATCTTGAAATTAATTTTTAATTAAATGTAAAGACCTTGGGTTAGTTTTGGAGGGGTGCGCATTAGCCATTTTTAAGCAGGGATTTATTTTTAATTAAAAAATAAAACTATAGTTATAAAAACACGAGAAACCACAAGTTTATTTAGGGTCGTGA